GAATAACAGCTGTTGTTTTATGCGTCCTTTGTAAGGACATTTCTCTGCTTCTGGGCAATGGTCAAGTAGCGAAGAATTGAAATACTGGCTGACACCGAAATGCTCTTGTGTAAAACCCTCAAGAGCTGAGATTTTTCAAGATGTGGTCATTGTTTGCTTTTCTGAGCTTCTTGAAGTGGCCTTTGATTCCACTTGGCTTCGTGGGATAATAATGTGGTTATTAGCTTAATAAACCTTGGCCGCTAGTTGACACTACTCCGTTTTAAACTTTTCCAGTGGAACTTATTATTCATCTCTCGACTATTTACGAGCTTATAAAACTTTCGGAACTTGTATGCAATTTTATTGTTTTATACTCATGAATAGTTCTTTAACTATTACAATTTTTATAAATTTTATATAAACAAATTTCAGTCATAAAAAAGTATTAAACATACTGAAATCTGATTTTAAAAATTAAGACAAACCAAGGCTTTTGGTCTCTGAATAAAGTGTATCGTTATTCTTAAAATAAAATAATTATTCTAGTTGCATTTAAGAATAGAAAGGAAAATAGAAAACCTAATAATGTTTTGCAATCAAAAGTTTTTATTTTGTAAAATATTGAATCCTGTTTAAGGAAAAACTTTTTTGGCTTAAATTTTACAGCTCCGTTTTTGGTTTAAGAGAATTGTTTGTTTAAAGCTTCTGGTTAGGTTCAAGTACAAATAATTAAATATGACTTTTAAGAAAATCGTTTATCTTTCAACTGCCATTACTGTCCATGATTTGAATTAATCTTGGCTTTTTAACATAATAACCTCGAACAAGTTATTGGCAGAGCATCAAAAGTTTGCCTTGAGGAGAAGTGGGGAGCCACATTTTGGGTTTGGGCCAGGTGTACTCGTCCTGGCTGCCTTTGTCTGTGTGCTCGAGCACTTGTAGCTGCGGCTGTATGGGTGTTATTGTCTACGTGGCAAAACTTCCGCTGCGGTTTTGGCTGCTGCGGTGGTTTTCCCGCTTCGGTGGCTGCGGCGACCGGAAGCGCCAAACACTTTCCGGTCACGCATTCACAGGGTTTTCCCTACTCCTCTCGCCAAAAAAAAGTCAATGTCTCGAGCAGTCACTTAAGCTTAAGTGTTGTTGTGCGCCAACCATTTTGTGGCCACAACAATAACAATGGGGCCAACAATGAGGGCAACTCAATTTCAATGCGTAGCACAGCGCGACTTTTCGCAGGGCGAAACTTTGCCAAAGAGCAGCCGCAAAATGTCGGGAAACAAAAGTTGCCAGTTTTGCATTCGAAATCTGCCAAATAAGTTTTTAATTGAAAGGAACTCGCAGACAAAGTCGATGGTCGTAAAGATGGGGAGCACCATTGAATTAAACGCACAGAAGCACGTGCTCGTATTTTACAATTTGACTTATTTATCATAGAAAAATATATTAATCATTATTATTAAAATTAATAATATTATAAATTTGTATTATTTTTATAAAAACTTTACTATTAAGGTTAAGTTCAAATAATATTTATGTAACAAGTTTGAATATATTAATCCACCCTCAAAAAATATTTAGTTAAATAATCAATTTTTCTGAACTTTAGAAAAATTCTATGGTATTATTAATTGAAAAGTATTAAGTGATCAAAAAACTTTAAAAAATATCATAAATAAGTGACCGAACTACGCTTATTACAAAATGTTACAATCAAAACTCTTTAATAATACTAATTATTACACTAAGTAAAGGATAGTTTATCAAGTAGAAAATAAATGGTCTTGACATAGTGTGCTCCTGCATAACATGTGCTTTACTATAATCCACGACTGGTGGCACGTGGTGCGACTTTTGCCCCGGTTTACGCACACAAATCATTATCGATTATTATCAGAGTCATGTGTATAACGAGCGAATTCGATTTAATGCCCAGTCCATTAGTTAAACAGCCTTGGTCTCGCCACGAACCTGACCCTTCCTTTGTGTCCCGGTGTTAATAAGCCAAAAGTCAATGTGTTAAATGAGCTGTGCGGCGAAAGGGGAAAGGGGGTCCTGTGAACTAGACGGTGGTTCGCAGTCGTGTGAAAATTCAATAAAAAAATGGGGAAACAAAGGATGACTTCTGGCGTCTAGGTGAGAGTCAACAGTTGGACGAGGGTGGATTGGTGAGTTGAAATAAAGTGGAACAACTGAAGAAAGAATTGTTATATTCTTTCTACTTGGAAAGGTAATTTGGGTATGACGTTTAAATGCTGGCAATTTTAAGTCTACTAATATTTAAAAAAATCTAAAAAATAGAATTTATATATAGTCTTTATTTTTCCCTTGTCGCAATTTTGGTTTGAAAACTGATTTGCTTTAGTATATTTTTTTATTGCAAGAATCGTCTTAAACGTTGACATAAAAAATCAAAATTTTTTTATTTACACCATTACAAAAATTATTTAACTCCAATGCGTAGATAACGAATTTCTGAGAAGGTTGACTCCCGTGAATGTTTGCCATTTCTTGTGCGCTTGTCTGTTATCGTTTTTATGCCCTTTCCTGCCATGTCTTTACAACAAACAATGGACTGAAATGTGATTTAAGTTTATGTCGTCTTGACACGCTAATACACTTCCTTCTCTGCCTGATTCTACCATCCAGTAGAAAGCTGGCAGTAATAATCTAAGGCATTGTAACCCAAATCCATTTGCCATATTGCCAGCTTGAAGAAGAGCTGGCTGAATAACTTGCACTCGAGTGCACTTTGACTTCATCATGATCACCCTCATCTACGAAGAGGTTGGCATTCAATTCAATTAAGTGAGTTTAACTTTAGTGCAAAGAAAGGATGAAGAAAACCCAAGGATAAAGTTGAAGTACGAGAACAAAGAGAACGAATCTAGAACGAGTATCGACTGTCTGCCTTATAATTGTTTCCATTTGTTCTCATCAAACTTTTCCGATACGTGGGCTATTTGACTTTTCTCACGGCTTTTTCTTTGTCAGAACACCCTTGAACAATCTTTTTGGTGTGAGCGCCACGCCTTGGTACTTGAAAGTTTTTACCTATTTCCAATCAATAAAATATAGTTAATTTTTGACGAGATAAGTGAGTTTTAGTCAATTTAAATTTCAGGAATAGGTTAATTTGAAAACCTTTACTTTTAAAGTAAGTAAGCTTGCAGACGGAATGATTGATTACTTTATACATTTTTATAAATATTGCCACCTTAACAAACTTGTTAGTAATCTAGATAGTTTTTATATATACCTGAGCGCACCCCCATCTGATGTTTTTTTTTTCCTTTTTCATTTACTAACAGTTCGTGAATGCTGTTTGACCTTCCTCTTAGTTAAGAGTTCCAAATCCACCCTATTGCCAGCACTGTCTGTGATCCTTGACTTTACAAATTTAATTTGTGCATTCCGTTGATGCCGATGTCGCTGCACTCTGTTGCATTTTATAAGCCCTACGTGGCAGCAATCAACCCGAGCAAAATAGCACTCACTTGTGACCCGGGAGGCCTGCTGGCCATGTGAACCGTAGGCGCCATCGGTTTTCATTTTAACCAGTAAAAATACTTGCTGCATGCAAGTTTGTTGTGATTGTGAGGCCAGCGGAGCGAATGAGCAATGTCATGTTGTGAAAGAACTTTCAAGACCCGTAAATTGGAGCATTATTTCTAGGTTAATGGCTTTCCACAGTGCTTTGTAATGCTGGGAACTGCATATCAATAAATTATTAATTCCCTTGCTAATAACATGGTCTAGTTTCCTAATACATGATTTAATTATTGAGATAAAAAATGGGGTTTCTCTCATTTAAACACAAAATGTTAATAAATGTTAATGATGGAAATACAATATTATTGAATTAGTTAATACAAAAAATTACAGCGATCGTGATTCAGAGAATTAAAAAAAAAACAATAAGAAATAAGTTTATATGAACAATACACTTTAATATTGACCACTCTCCTTCTTTCACTCTCCCTTTGAATACTTTTTGCAAATAAAAAAAAAAAAACTTTTTCGTAAGTGCAAAGCACTGCTTATCAATAAATTATTAATTCCCTTGCTAATGTCATAGACGTGTTTTCTAATTCTTGATTTAATTTATTGATACAAAATATGTTTTTCAATTCATAGAGCGGCTTTCTTTTTTTCCCATTTAAATACAAATTGGTAATATGCTGATGGAAAGATAATAAAATTAAATTAGTTCATACATAAGTCACAGTCATCGAGATTCAGAGAATAAAATACAATAAGAATTAAGTTAATATGAATAATACACTTTAGTATTGACTACTCCCCTAATTTCGCTCTCCTTTTGAATACTTTTTGCAAATTAGAAAAATACTTTTTCTGTGTGTGCTAAGCACTGCTTTGAAATTCTTAGTTAATTTGTTGACAGTGTCTTGCAAAGCTTCAGTTGGTTAAGCAAGAATTTAAATAATGGATGGCAACATTAGATACTTGCATTTATTCGACCTTAAAACCAGTGGCAGGTCGCCCAAAATCAAAATCAAAGCCGTGTGTTGCAGCTGGGGAGACCTCCTGCCTCCTCCTGTCAGTCGCCACATCCTTCGCACCGCACAGTGAGTATCCTGTGGAGAATCCGGCACTTAGAGGAGCGAGAGCTGTCGTCGGTGTCTTTGTGGCACCGCTGGGTTTGTGGGAAATCAGCGCCGCTTTCCCCAGTCGTTGCCCCAGTCTTATAATTTATGCAATTGCCGTATGCAAGGAGGGTCGCCACTCGGCTGCCATGATGCAATTGTCAGCATTTGGCTTCGTTGGCACCGCAATCGCGAGTAATTGTGGAATGCCACGGGGCACGGAGCACACACAGGAAAAAAAAAGGGAACAGGAGCTGAAAGGCAACGATGATGCTGATGTTTTGTGGCCTCAATTTGCTTAAACAGGCAATTAATATGCGCGGCAACGTTGTAAACAATGCCATCGGGGACTCGCGGGATAGCCCCTCCTAAACCCCTTTTACTAATGGCCGGAATAAACACACTTTCGCGTGGTTTTGTTTGGCTTAATTCAGGTTAATTTAATTTACAATTCAGCTGACATTTCGGTGTAAATTCCTGAAGCTGCACTATGGGATTAGCGACACTCGTCCCGCCATGTAAATGGTACTTTCGTCCTTGATAACGTACGCAAAGGGTTTGTTGAGTTTCAGGACTCTTTGGTCATCGTCGGCCCCGGATTCGGTGTATACTAAAAGTATATTTGTTAATAGGAATGCTTAAAATGCATTGATACCTAAATTAAATCAGTCAGTTAAGACATCAGAACAGCCTAGTTATCTATTTTTTGTAAAATAATGCAACCAGTGTTTCTATTTTGTTGTTTAATATGGTTACCAATATTTCTAGCATTAACTAATTTACATTTGCATCTGCAAGGGGCAACAATACTTTATTTCATTAATATCATATTGATATACATTATACCCTTGCAGAGTAAAGGATATTATCTTGATCAGCATCACGATCTGATTCGAAATACGTCTGTCCGTCTGTCTGTTTCTCTTCAAACTAGTCTCTCAGTTTAAAAGCTATCTTGCTGAAACTTTCCCAAAAGTTGTGTAGGTATTGCACGCGGTATATAAGTCGGATCGGGCCGGATCGGCCAATCATATAGGATAGCTCCCATACGAGAGAATGAAATAAAAAATTCTCACACCGTTGTTTTTGATCAGATCGACTTGATTGATAGCTGCCATATGAACAATAGTCAAATATATGGAAAATTAATTGAAAAGTCGTCATAGCTTCAATATTGTTTAGTCTTTATGCATTTTGTTTGACTTATTTGATGACTGCAACGGTATTTAAGCTTCGGCTTGCCGAAGCTAGCTTCCTTTCTTGTTTTTTTTTTTTAATTTATAGGTCAAAACTTACTCAAAACCCGATTTGGCTTGATTTGCAGACCATTGAACTGCTTGAAATTTGCAACGGTGGCATTTCTATCGGGATCAGCACTTGTGAAAAGTTTCTGGATGCCCAACTCTTGAAGAACTGAATTTAAGTCCACGGTATCCTGGAAACTTAGGATAGGCAAAAACAAGTGCGTGTCCTCCGCTTTTTTCAATGGGATTTGTAGATACTTATCCAGATTCTGCAGAATTCTTTTGGTGCCGAATTTTTGTCTGGGAAGTATCACCAACATTCCGATATCGGTGTTTGAAAATGGAATCATGGCACCTCGAACCTCGTCATCGCTGAAAAACTGAAGGGGTGCTACCGTATACATCATTTCGGCCTTATAAGAAACTGGTTTCTTATTCGGTCTTGCCACGCTGAAAAGCATGTTTGACATCGACTTAAATCGATATTTCCAATGAGTTGTCGCAGAAATTCCTTGCACTGCCACAATTTCCGTGATGTTGGTTAAATCTTCCTTTTCAAAGAGATTATTTCCAGCTTTGTTAATGGACTTACTAAACCACTTCTTAATTTCTTCTTTCGACTTTTCGACGTCTGAGAACCCAATGTTTTCTATATCCACGCCAAAGTCTGTGCCGTGTTTTTTCATTTTCTCCGATACGTTGTATTTCGGTGACACATATACTCGATTTGCCAGGGTAAATTCTTGGGTAACTGCTTTCTGACGAGACTTGTCGAAATAGGACGTGATCTTCTCATGACGACGCCCTGTTAGTCTGAGAGCTCTGGCCAGCTGGACATCCCTGCGAGTGTCCTTTCCCAGATAAAACAATGATAGAGCCTGGTAAACCCCAAATGGGGAGACCGCAAAGTTATCCGACAAAGACTTTAGACTAAGTCGCTTAACTAAATCAATTTGGAATCGGATCGCGAAGAAACCTTTGGCTAACAGCAGCAAGGATGTGCACAGCAGAATGGGTTTAACCATTTCTACGGTTCTTCTGAAACTGATTTTGTTATCCGAGATTGGCTTGGGGAAACCGTAAAAATAAATTCAATTTGTCAAGCCTATCAATTAAGTAAATCTGATAAGCGTAAAAGAAGTGAAGAGTCCCGACTACCAATTACCCACTACCAATTAATAAAATAGGAAAATAGGAAAACATACTTCAAGAAAAAGTAAAAACATTTCAATTATTGAGGGGTAATAAGAAAAAAAGACGAGCAAAAACAATAAAACATTTATAGTAAAAATGATTATAATAATTATTTATCTAAAATGTTGTATACTAAGCTTAACTGAAATAAACTAAAATTTACTAATTTAAAATAAAATCTATTTTTTTTTGTTTACAGTAAAAGTAAAACTATATTGTTTAAAGAATTTCAGGGTTTTAACATTCTTGTTGTATGGTCCATTATTTTTGTTTCTTTAAACGTGTGTGACCAATGAACTTTTTATTCGTTCTTCGCCACGGAAACAACATGCATTTTCTGTAGCGATTAATTGTGAAAATGTGTTTATTAATAATATTAAACCACCATGCACTCATTTTTCTAATTTGAACGGGGCAACTGAGCCAAGTTTCTTAATTATGTTAACACCATCTCTACGGCAACGCCCGTTCTCATCCGCTTCTATTCCATTTCCGCGGGTAAACCGACTGCAATTTTAAATCGGAGCTCAGCTCGGTTCAGCTCGTGGCATAAAACGTTTGTGCGCTCATTGCATTTTAATGGCTTTTTAAAGCGTTGATGTTCCAGGACAGCGAGCAGCTGAGCGAAAGAGGAAAGTTGCATCGGCAGCGGCTGAGGAGTCGATTTAGATATGCTGCCATACAACGCCCACATGCAGGTTCACATAGACCTCGAACACTGGCCGAAATATAAACAAAGATTCATTCATTGAAGTGAGAGAGAACAACGTATATATATTTTATTTATTATATTTTTATATAACATGCTTAACTTTTTTAAAATATTTCAACCAACGAATCCCTGTTTTGTATTGTACATTTTAGTTTATTAGGATATATTGAGATGATGATCCATACCTAAATCATTTCATGCAATGTTGTTTATTTAACAACACCAAAACAATAAAGATTTAAAAATAACTGTTGCATACAAACTAAAGTCCACAATAATCCGTTTTATTTTTCACAGAATATTAAGTGCACTTCACTTCACTAGTTATACATTAAAAAAATTTATTTTGGAATAACGTTGACTTTCAAATTTTTTCCCGTGCAGAGCCGTTTTCCTAAGCGTTTGCCACTTCATTGTGCCGTCGTCTGTTTATCTCCGTCGCTGCCATTGGCTGTGGGGTTTCTTGGGCTGCTCACCTAGCTGGAAACTCTGAGTTGGCAGCAGGCAGCAGGGATCCTGGCAGCAAGGAGCAAAGAACAAGGAGCAAGGAGAGGGGGTGCTAAGGATCCAGGAGCTTCACCAGGGACACAGTCACTGGCTTTGGCGCTCAGTGTGTGGCATGTCAGTGAGCACTTACACTAATTTCCAGTTATTTGCATGCAAAATTACCCGGCACCGGCAGAAGCAGTGGCATTAGAAATGGCAGCGGCACCCCAGAAGCAGCCAACACCAACCAACACCAATGAAGACGCAAACAAGCCAAACCGACAACCAACGATGGTAGCTGCTACTTGCTTTTTCTGCACCGAGAAAAATTGTTAGGAGAGTTTCCATGTCTTGGTATGAGAAGTCAGAATACCCAAGCAACACTTGTCAGTAAGGTACACGCCGCGTATGAGTAATATGTAATGTTTATGTGATAGACCTAATCAAATTTGAGCATAATTTTAAGAATTAATGAACATTTTATGATTTCAGCCCAGCAAAATTCTTAAAATGGTAACGAGCACTCAACTTGTTCGTTTATTGTTACAAAAGTCGGGAATTTCTTCAGCGCATTTGGAAACTCTGCGAACATAATGTCAAGAATTTGTCGGCATTTTTTATATGTTATCTGTTTAATATGACTTGAGTTTACACAATGGGCTAAGGTACAATTTCCACTTAATTTTTATTAAACAACAACAAATTAAGATGACATGCATTATTTGCATACTTTAAATGAACCTCAAAGGAACTTTACCCAACGTATCTTTCATAATTTGTGTAAATGTAAAGCATTATAAGTTATTTGTTTAGAAATTAAAATAAATAAATACGATCTTTGTCTTATGCCTTTCTGCTGTCAAGAATGTTTTGCACTTGTTTGATGGTACCTTTCGAAGCTTTATTTCAGTGCACATCTGGCCCGGCAGCCAATTAAAAGGAGAAAATTATGTTAATTTCGAGGGGCCTCCGCTGCACTGTCATTTATCATTTGGCCCCGATTTCCCGTTATGGCGCGGACCACACCCACACCCACACCCACACCCCGGAGCTCATTATGCCTCCCACTCAGACTGGAGCACCGAAATCCACCTCCGCTCCTTTGCCACTGACTTAATGCCCGTGATTGGCATTTGCCACTACGCCTACGCCAAAGGCAATTTTTATTCATTCGCCTTGCAGCAGGACCCAGAAAATATTGTGTGGGCGTTGGCAGTTGGATCAGCGCACACATGCACCTTCCACCCATTCAGAAACACACACACACACTGGCACCCAGTCCTTCGCCAGGACATCAATAATTTATATAGGAATTTGATAAATTATTTCGTACGACAGTCCGCTGCTGCCGCAACTAAATAAGTTAATTTGTCATAGGCAAGCCCTACAAAAAATTGTTCAGACATGTAAATGGTCTCGATGGGGTTTCGGCTTGAGCATTTGGCTGAGCACTGATAGGGAATACATAATAAATGTGATATTAATGGTCTAGACATGTGTATGTAGATAAACTACTTTCGTGTGCTGCTTATGCGAAGGAATAACCACCAGTGACTTGTATTGTTTTTGTGGCGCTTGATATTGAGTAATGATTGGGATGCTCTGCTTTTTTATGTAAAAGATATTTATTTATTACCTTTCTTTACGTAGTATAATATTTACAGGGCTATATAACTATAAAGTCATCGAACTGGTATGCAAAGAAATCTTCTTAGTGACAATGATATCAAACAAAGCAAGAATAGGCCTTATTAAATTTGTACGACGTTTACTTTAATATTTATATTACTGATTTGTTTCTTTATTCAACTCAATGTTTAACTGCTGTCTGTTAAATAAAAATAAATAATAAATGATGCGTTTTAGAAATTAGAAATAAGATACCACTTTCAACATTGACAACACCTTTAACGAGGAACATCTTGCTTCGTAAAATTGTTTAAGAGTGAATATGTTTTTTAAGCTTATGCCACAGTGGCTTTAAGCCACAAGCCGCAGATGCCAGTCTAAGCTCAATTGAGCTCGATTTTCTTTCGAAAGGTTAAGCTGAACGGACTTCCCCACTTAATCTCTGGCCCGGTTCAATTGCAAGTTAAACAACTCAATTTGCCCCGGAGAAGCTATCGAATATGGACAGGCAATTGCACAAGCTATAGCCGTCCATTGCCAAACAAAGGATGGGGCCACTCCCTCTCTCCCACTTCCATACACACACATACACAAACACTCTGTTACACACACGCACATGTCAGAAAGGGGACAATCAATGCGATTTCCTGCGACTAGATAGGACTAAAGAACAACAGCAAAAACAACGGCGACAAACTGGAAAACAACAATTTAATTAAAAATTTATAAGCGTGTCGTTGTCTTGGCAAACAAGCAGCCAAACAAAGCAACAAACTGTTGCTGCAACACACACACACACACACACCCACACGAAGGCAAACACCAACACAGGCGCAGAAAAGTAGGCAAGAGGAGGAGAGGGCGGAAGTGGAGCACTCGAGCGCCCCCTGGCGTCGGGGAACGACAGCACACATGAGCAGACCGGAAATGGCCTGCTGCCATTGTTCTTGCCGACCCCTTCCCCTCCCCTCGTGTCATTTCGACTCGGCTCATTTGCTTTCGAGTTTCTGGCTTTGTTTAGACTTCTGCCGGCTGGCTAATTACTGCAGCTCGACTCGGAGCACCCATTGAGCTTAATTAGCGAGGAAAAGTTTGTCCCGGCCGCAGCGACATAATTGAAATGTTTACGTTTTGTTTCGCAGTTGGCTCTCCCCGGCAGTTGCTGCTCTGCTTACTTTGCATTTGCTACAAAAACTTTTGTGCTCCCCATTCGTTTCAATTAATTTGCGATTTCGTTAGATCATAATTGTATGCATATTCCGTAAGAAGCTCCCACTTCCGCCGCTCCTTGGGCTTTGTCTGCTTATCCTTTATGCTCATTATGAAAGCGGGGAATTACCCAAAGCCAGCTGGCGTTGTCTGTGTGCGTTCTGTGCGGCTATATTGTCCTGGCTGCGTAATTTATGGCCACCACCCCGGCCATAATCTCGGCGAGGAGCGAGTGGAACGCTCCTGAGTCGGCTATTTATAAATGGAGCCACTTCGGGTCGACCTTCAAAAACAAGATGGATAATGCACGACTTCAATAGCCGGTGGTGCCGTCGTGATTGATGGTAAATGCGTATTTAAGGCAACTACCAATTTCCTGATTTAGTGATAATCGTACGCCTATTCCTATTTTCGCTTTAAGCGAATTTAAGGTGTTTAGTTCTACTCCTTTTAAGGGTATATTATTTTTAATTGATTTAAAAAGCATCAAGACAGCAAGAAAATTGTGTATTAGTGGTCATCATTAAAACTTATTGAATTTAATATAAATACAGTAGGTATGTTGTTTGCATTTGTAAGAACAAATAATACCTAAACAGGTTTTTAAGATTTTATTTTTTTTAATTTAGATATGCCAAAAACACCATCCTTATAATAATAACTTTAGTTTCCCCAATATCTGTCAACAAAATGTAGTATTTTACGAACATATCTACACATTTTTATTTCCTATCGTTTTCGGACGACTTGCTTCACTTCAAAATATCATTTTACCCAAATGCCTTAACCACTTAAAGTTCGCAAAAACATTTTTATAGGAAGCCAAAACAGGTTCTCCCTCCCCTCGCCCCCTTCTCCACCAGTTCACTTTCTTCAACGTGCGGCACTTATTTATCTCCGCCCACTCGATCTCCTCCCCATAATTTTCTCAGTGGCGTTATGGTAGCATATTTTTTAGCGCTCGCCGTGCGGGTGGAAAATTGCGTGGTTTACATTTCAATATCAGGGGCGTCTGCAAGACTCTTAAAAGCTTTGCCAATTGTTGAATATTTTACAGTTTTTTATTAGCTTTGTGTGTTTACCGATTGTCGCAAAAGGTTGTTGTTCCGCTTATTTGTGTACAATATACCCGAATGCGCTTATATAAATCCAGCGTGTTCACGCGGGGGCATTAAATGTGCCGCTGTTTGCTCGCCTTTTTCGCCGATGTTTCTTTTATTTTTTTTGTGATTATTTCTCATTAACAGGAACGCAGAGAGCTCTGCTTGTATATTTCTGTTATTTTTTTTGCTGCTTTTGGCCCCGTTTTAATGGACACGGACCGTTGATTTTAACGTCTCGTGCCAGTTGCGTTGTTGTTTTTGCCTGGCCGGCTTTCTTCCTTTTTTCACAAATTAGTCGCACGAACATTTTGCCGCTTTGCTGCCGCCGCTCTGGAAAATTGTTTGCAACATGCAAGGCGGCGGCCACAAAATAGGCCGGCAGCAGGCCTCGTAGCCAGGCCCAGACCCTCGGCAGACCTCGATGCTTTCGAGTGAAAACAAATATGCAAGCGGGTCGCACTGGAGATGGCAGCGGCTCTGAAGGCCCTTATCTGTACACACGGAAAAAGTCCGGATATTTCAGAGCACTTTCGCAGAGAGACAGGTATATCAAGAGCTCGAAATAAAAATGCACAACCGCAGCTATTTACACTATAAAAAGCGGATTTCAGGATTCAGGATTTCACCAAAGATAAACAAAATGAATAACATCTACATATTAAATATAAATGTGTTTTGGAGTACTGCAACACTTGAATTAAAAAATTTATTTTTGGTAAGCTCAACTCTTCTTTTTTTCTTTCTTCAACTCTTCTATTATTATTTATTAAATCTACATTTTTAAATACAATTTTTGTAGTGCAGCAGGATTATATGACTCTCTGTATCACGTAGCCATCTCCTCCCCAGCAAAAGGACCAAAAAGCAGGGACCAGGAATGCTCCTGTCAGCATTCTTCGGTGTCATTCCAGCCAGACTGACTAAAACACAAAGCGACGTGCCACACTTTTCCACACTTTTCCCGCTGTTCCGAGGCCTTCGTCCTGCGCCGTGCATGCCACTCTTTTTAGCTCTTTTTGGCTCGCTGCGGCTGCTTACACGAAATGAATATGGATTTCCTTTTAATTACAACTCCCCGGCCCAAGAACACAAAGCCCTTCGCATTCTTTCCGCGGCTCTGGCTATTTATGCCTGCAGCTATTTTTGGCCAAAAGCCTGAGGCGGATCAGTGGCATAAATTCGACATGTTTTGGTATCAGATTTCCCCGTGTCTACTGCCAATCAGAGAGACAACAATGGAATCCCATCTCCGCGGCGTGTTTACGTCTGCCTTTTGGATTTGAATGCCACAATGGCAGCGGATTTATGGGTGGCTGAATTGAATGTGTGTTGGAATTAAATCTGTTAAATGCAAATATTTATTTGTTGTCCGTTATCAAGAGGGCTTTTTGTGGGAGAATAAAGGAAAAGCTTTGGGTTTCCTGTACCTTTTGAGATCTTTACATTTGAATTGTACTTGTTAAACAACTTTTAGTCTTTAACTTATAATTCAAAGTTGGGATTTACAATTAAAGCTACAGGTATTTAACAATCTGCATTGCTAGTTACTTTTAAATTTTCTAGCTTTGAACAATTAAATTTTACATTATATATTTAACTTTATTCCTGTAAACTTTGTAATTCAGGATAATACAATTTCACATTCAATTGCTCTGAGCAGCTACTTTATTTTAATGGCATTTCTTAAACCGAACAACAAATAATCTAAAACTTCAAATGACAAATGCTCAACGTTAAGCGCCCATTCAAATCACTTCAAAGCGCTTTATTGGCAAATTTCCAGGCATTCACCTACCCACAACTCCATTAAGCTCATCAAAGAGCATTCTGGGCTAATCCTCCATTTAGTTAATGCTTGTTTACCGGCGTTACAGATGATTATTTCATTATCAAGAGGCGCTGTATGATAACTATGCCGCATTAAAAGCGTGTTATGCTGAGCATATTTCGAAAGGGAGAGATGGAATCTTCAGCAAGGACATGATTTCACTTAGAATATGGTACTTGTGAAGTACACATACTCGCATATACGAGGATATAGTATACAGTATTCGCATACACAGAATACCTGTACACGTGGGCATGTTAAAAACAAAAGCAATGGCCGTTGGCTTCGACATGTTCATCTTTTGCTCGGATGAGCTGCCTCCGCTTCTCCGGGCTGTTTAAATATGTATTGCTCTGCATATTTTATAAACTCCACGTGCTTTTTCAGACAACACTTACTCACTAACACCCGCGCACACAGATACAAGGCCTCGCACACAGATACAAGCTCGCAATTCGCGTTTGCTAACTCGATAATATTGATTGGTTAAGAGGAGCCGAGGGTTTAAGGGAGCGATTTCAGTTAGCTCCTCCAAAAACAACTAATATATTTATATAAAAAAGAATAAAAAATGGGTGGGTTTGGGTTTTGTTTTATGTTCTTTATGAGAACGCGGAACTATTTAACTTAAACTTTTGGGAGAGATTTTTTGAACTGGGATCGCAATAAAAACTTATTGTATAATCCTCAAGAATAAATTAAAATTGGCCACAACAGAAATTCCAATTTTAACTAATCTTACTAAAATATTTTCAAATAATTTGATAACCATTGATTTAAAAACCGCTGAAACCCTGTAAAGAACTGTTTAAAAAGGAAATGTTTCACAATTTCCTCTCCGAGAGTCATCTAAAGTGGCATCCCCGAGATAAAAGATCCGAATCGAAAAGTGAGACACATGGTTTTTACAGGGGTCAGTGTCAATGTGGGTCGTCCACTCACCATTTCGCAGGCTCCACCGTGGCCAGCTCCAGTTGCGTGGTCCTTGCCATCGCGATAATCCTTTGTTCGCTGCTGCGGGGCGTTTTTGGGAAGAGGAGCGCGTTTTTGGCCGCTCCGACGAAGCGTTTATTGGGATTTTCACCTGCTTTTCGTTTGGCCGTGTGGTTGGTTGTGTGCACTTGACAAATTGTTATTGCTGTTGTTTGCTTGTTAGCTGCCGGTTGCTTGTTTATTTTTACACTTTGCGCAACGCGCTTCGGGGATGCTGACAAATGGGCCTTCGGTTGATCATTTCACATATGCATTAGACGCTCCATTTTTGTATACGACCGCGACACATTTCCGTGGATTACGTGATTTCTTCCGGGCACTGAATGAATATTTAATAACTTAATTTCGAGCGCAGCGAATACGCAAATGAGAACGGAAAAAGTGCAGGGAGTGGAAAGAGTTTTCCCCACTTGGCCATTTAAGGCGACTTCCACCGCAGATCCATTCGCATTATCAGCCTTTGTCCTAACCCTATAACATCCAACGCTCCCCGCCCACCGACCGACCACGCCCCTTTGGCTGCAAAGTGTCTCAAGTGCGCCATTAGGCGTTTGTTAATAGCCTTTTACCGTTTTGCGCTCATCTCTAAGCACCATGCAACAAGACACGTCGAAAAAAGGGTTTAAATGCTCTAATGGCAAAAACTTGTTTAACAATATTAACAACAAGTAATTCTTTTTTAAGTTATAAATTCTGTAAATCAACAGAAATTAAATCGCTTAGGTACATTACAAGTTATTTAGTGACCTTTTAATTTTAAGTTTGAAGGCAAGTTCTCGTTAATTGAAAACGAATTTATTTGCAATTGTTTAATTCGGGTTGAATAAAATCAATAAAGTTCTTAAGTCATGTTTTGTGACCAAACAAAGTACGAAACAAGCTTCATGTGCTTTTATGTGTTTTAAATTATTTTTACAGCCTTTCTGGAATCCAAAGCTGTTTCTTTTTCAGTGTGCAGCAACAAACGCGCTGTAAACTCATTTAATATGCTTAATGACGTCATGTGTGCGCTGTTTTAAGTAGCCTCCCCTTTGCAAATGTGTGTGTAAGTGAGTGTATGGGTGTCTGTGTGTGTGTGTGTGTGTGGGTTAGCCCCACCCTGCATGCGACAATTCTCAGTTGCCTCTGTTCTCTGTTATTGTCACTGGCGATGTTGCTGGCTTTTTCTGGGTTTTGTTTTAGGGGCACTCCTCTTTTGTTGATTTTCAGCCTTCATTGTTGCGTTGGTCATTTGAAATGCAGATGGCCTTGGATGGCCATGGCTTAGCCCCTGGCTCCACTTTGAATGCTCCGCCCAAAATAGTCTCGCTAAACTCTTAACAAAACTGCGAATACTCGTAGTTGTGTGAATGGCAGCACAGCACAGCACAGCACAGCACAGCCTTGGGGGAATCTCAAAAACTTTGCCATAGAATTCCCGAGTCAAAGGAGCACCGAGTCAAGCGCTCCTCATTGTTCCTATTTAACTTTTTGGATTATGACCTCGAATCAATGCTGATTTGGCACTTTTCTTTCTCTCTGGTTCGCATATTAATAAAATAACAGGAGTCGGAAGTCTTTAACTGCACGTGCCTCGATAAAGAATAATATAGATTTATATATTGGTTTTACTGGCTATTTGGTTTTGTTGATAATTTTAAAGTAAATAATTTCAGTTTTAGAACCTTAGTTCTTAGTTATTTGGCAGTGTTTTTTGTGTATTTCAATACTTTAACTACGCTCCACTAAAAGATAGCTTTACATGCTAAAAACATACAACGGGAATTATAATTTATTCTAACTCAGTTTGGTTTGGTTTGATTCATTGAATAATCAAGAAGTTACTATAGATTTCCATGAATATTTAGTTGTGCTGTACTTGGAGCTCAATTATGCTTGATTTATTGATTTCTAAAACTATTAGACCGTAAAAAGGTGTTTCTGAAATGAATGTGTTTTGGTTACATGCTAAATTATCTCCTTTTCTGAAAACTGAATCTGCTTCCGCATTCCCCTTAATAAAACTTCTTTATTTTATTAGTTTTTTCCCTGGCCAGAACTTTTAAAACTCTGCAAAAAGACCGCAACAAAAGCCTGATTCCGCAGGGTTGATGAGTTAATGTCCTGTGTTAATTACATTAACCACAGCGGCTCCTTGGGGAAGTGCATACTGCGGTAGTTAGTTAGTTACTGACCCTAGACCTTTAAGCACTTTATATTCTGGTTGGTATTCTGCTGGTCATGTAGCCGTCTTGGGCTGCCACTTAAAGTCAGTTGGCTGACAGAACCTAATGTTGGCTTTGCATGTTCGGGTAAAAATCAGGAACTAGGTAGCAGCCAAGTTAGCCGTGTTCCCCGAAAAGTAGTCCACACTCGCTGGATCACTCCCTTTTCGCCACTTTTGTGGGTTTTGTTTAACTTCGATCGTTGTGTTATTCAAATATGTAGACACTCACACACAAAACACACTGTAACTGAACGGCAAAGAAACTTTCACTCCTCGAAGTTGGGAAGGGAGCAGCTCCCCTCCGAACTGGCTTCGGTTACTCCTTTTTTGTCAATTTGTTTTGGCCAAAGAGGAACCTCTCCCCGAAACCGAATCGAAGTCCGAGACCCAATCGAAGTGACAACTTTTGAGGGGCGAACAGTTCCGAGGGAGACGTCCGTTCGGGAACAGCTAGAGCAACAAACTGTTGGCCAAAAGGATTTTTTGGTTTTTGGAGTCGGCCAAAGCTCGGGGAGCTCGTGTTTGGGGCACGCTGTTGCTATTGGCAGTGAAAGCTTTGCCCCCACCCCCCGACACTTGCCGCCGATTTCCATGTGCGGCAGGACACGTGCGGAGCTTTTTTGCACGTGAGCCGTGTGTGTTTTGTGCCTGGACAATGGCCGTGTGGCATTTTCGAAAAACCTTTCTCAACAAGTGGAAAGCTTTCAATTTGCCATTAATTAGCACCCCTCTACTAATTGAATTTTCATGGCCAAGCGACATGGGGCATCCACTAATTTCACTTTTCTCTACTTTTTTGGAAACTTTTAAGAACTTTCAACTGCACTGGGTTCCAACCTGTTGACCAGCTTATGGGAGGCATTCCGAGGGGGTGGCCCAACCTTCGTCCTCACTCAGTTTCGCAGAAGGACCTTGCCTCGCTCTTGAAAACGGCAACAGCCAGGCAACAGCAGAAGTCGGCTGAAATATTCATGCACGTAAGGTCATCACAGCTATTTGGCTGCACTCCGCTCAGCTGGCACTAAAAATAAGTCCGTAAGTAGATATAAGTATAATTCGCGTGGCACACTCCCTCCCTTTCACATAAACATATATATTTTGCAACTTTCGTCTGGCAAGGCAGCGAAATTTTGGAATTTCGTGCCTTAATACTTTGGCAAGGACATGGCGAAAAGGCCTTAGTCGAGTGTTCGGCAACAATGGACAGGCTATAATTGAAAAATAATTGCAATAATTGCATTATGGCTATAATTTTCCACACATTTTCTGCATAAGTAATGATGAAATTTGCATATTGTATATTAGGTTAGAAAACATGATTTATTTTTTGTATTTTACTTATTGAAGTGTACAGCAGTAACTTTTCAGTACTAAATTTTCAACACTACCACATTAACACTTATGTATTCATAGGCAATAGAGATAAATGTATGAATCCTCTTACATTTAAATTGTAACGATTCTTTATGTTTTAAGCTTTCAACAGCTTTGAAATAAAACTTTTCTTTCATCCTCTGAAAGCTCTATGAAACCAGTATTTTTTAACTGAAGGACGACAACGGCGAGTTCAAGAAATACGAAAGTACAGTTCAACTTTTATAATTTGAACAAACATTTAAAAAATATATATATGTATATATAAAATATATATATCTGTGTATTTTAAAAGACTTGCACTTTGGAAACAATTTTTTAAATTTTTATTTCTTCACATTTTTTTATTTTATGTACAAAAATAAATCTACAAATAAATAAAACTATGTTTTGATTATTTAGCAAATCAGCGGAATATATATTATACATATCTAAAGATAATTAGTTAGGACTAAGAACAAGTACCCAAAACTTATGCAAGTAGCTAAGCCCTGTAACTCTACAGGCTTCCAAGTTCTAAAAGCCATTAAAACTGTCTGTGTTGCACACTCAGGAATTTCTAGTTAATTGAGTGATCTTGTTTTTTTTTTCATTCCTTGAAGCAGCATTCACTGGAAACACATTTATCACATATGTATGTATATATAAACATGAGTTCGCGATATATATTGATAAACTATGGAAGAGTTAATTCCTTGTTGATTATCAGCAATACATATAATTTACTGAAAACGAGCTCTCAATAAGACCAGCGAGGAACACTGCGATCAGTGCGTTTCAATCAACGGTTAAGAAACATTACAGAAATGTTTAGTTCGACTCGTTTTTTGGTCATTTTATTGGCTCTCTGCGTCCCATGTTTTGCAACTGATAATTCGGTGAACGGTGTTCAACCAAGTCATAGATTTAAAAAAATCGGGACTAGATATTTCTACATTGAAAGCAATTTCCTGGCCAACTGGTGGGCTGCTTCAGACACGTGCCGGCAGATGGGAGGCTATTTGGCTGTTCCGAGAAACTCTGAGGAGTTTTCAACAATCACAGCCAAACTGACGGATGGCAAAGACTATTGGCTGGGAATTAACGACCTAGGTATAGAGGATAAATACGTTTCCCAAGCCACCGGACAAGTCGTGACGTTTTTGAAATGGGGATCTGGCGAACCCAGCCGTTTCTACCCGATTTCCAGAAAGGAGGATTGCGTTGAACTAAGATCTGAATATAATTTTTTAATGAACGACTTACCATGCGATATTCTAAAAAATTTTATATGCGAATTGGAAGACTGATCAAAGTGTAATATCAAAATTAATTTTCTTAAGTTCTATTCAATTTCTATTGAGAGGACATATTTCATATATCAAAGAAAACTTTAACTCTAAACTGAAATAAACAATTAAAAGTTGTCTGTGTATTTCATATTTTATTTATTTTTATTATGATATAGAAGTCCGACCCGACATGTGTACTAACTCAAATATGGAGGTCCATGCCTTTAGCATGAAAAAAACGAAAAATTAATAGTTTACATAACTATAAAACTTTAAATATCGTAGCAAGGTTGGACAGAAACGGTTAAATTTCTACCATTTACCTTTATTGCAAACTTTTTTTTTTTACTGCGGTAGTAAATGAATTTTACATATTTTTGGCATGTTCGGTTATCTAAGATTTCAAATTATTCTTACATGCAAGCTACTTCATCAGATGGTCTTTTCCGTCAAGGCTTCTTTACAGGGGCAGACGCAGAAAAAAATTTTAAGGGGAAGGGGGCTCCGGATGCCGTTGTTTTTGATCATAGCGACTTGATTTCTTTGTTCTTTTAACTTCGATCGAATTTTTAATTAAATTTGATCAAAATCGGATTACTCTATCATATCGCTGCCATAGGAATATACATTTTTCGATCTTTCCCATGGTAGCTATATGATATATTTATCAGATTTTATCATACAAATATGATTAGATATACGAAAAAAAGGTAAAAAACAGCAACATTTAGGATTCTAAAAAAAATATCTAAAATGCGTGGACAGTATTAATTGTTTATTTTATTTTTTAGGTTTAGTTTTAATTCATAAGAATCGAAGAACCACATCATATAGCTGGCATAGGAAAGAAGAAATATAAAATTAACGGAAATTAACGGAATAAAGAGTTTTCTTTTGACTTTTGAATTTTGAATTAAATTCAAAGTTACGTCATCGTATGTCAAAAGTTCGGGAAAGGTTCTAGTCTTTCCCGTCAAAGGACGCCAACACAAGAATTATCATTAATGAAAATTATTTTTGTTTTCCTAATACATTTTAAGAAGCCGGTGCATCAAAGTTTGTTTTAAATGTCCTCCGGCTCATTGCTATTATTTCAAAATGAATTTATCAATACCTTGCATTGATTGACCACTAGGACAATCAATAGATTCTAGAGCCTATTTTTTTAATAACTAGGTGGTAATATTACGATGTTCAATTTTTTTAAATGGTGCAACAATCTTCGTTAAAGTATTATCTTGCCAGTTGGCCTGTGTCATTTCACATTATATAATTATATAGTGTATAAAATTTGCTTTCGGTGCTTGTTATTTTATTAAATTACATTTCAAAACTACACTTGACGTCAAGTTTCTGTTTTCCGTGTAACGTAAACTAATATATCAACCACCGCCCAGCTTTCTATCTTCATTAGCCTGTCCTTATCTATTTTGCATGCCCGGTGATTTTCAGTTATTTGATTTTTTTTCTTTTTTCTTTCTGTGAAACAAGTACACATATATTTCCAGGGAATTCTTTGAAATAAAAGAAAAAAATGCGATATATATACGACAACGAGTTACAATTTGTTGTCCCATTGATAACCTATGGCAGAGTTAATTACTTGTTGATTATAAGCAATACGTATAATTTACTGACAACGAGGTTTCAACAAGACCAGCGAAGAACAATGCGGTCAGTGAGGGTTCATTCGACGGTTAGGAAACATTTAAGAAATGTTAACTTCAACTCGTTTTTTGCTCGTATTATTTGCTTTCTGCGTCCCATGTTTTGCAACTGATAATTCGCTGAGCGGTGTTCAACCAAGTCCAAGGTTTCAAAAAATCGGGTTTAGATATTTCTACATCGAAAACAATTTTCTGGCCAACTGGTGGGCTGCTTCAGATACGTGCCGGCAGATGGGAGGCTATTTGGCTGTTCCGAGAAACTACGAGGAGTGGTCAAAGATCACAGCCAAACTGACGGAGGTCAAAAACTATTGGCTGGGAATCAACGACCTAGGTATAGAGGATAAATACGTTTCCCAAGCCACCGGACAAGTCGTGACGTTTTTGAAATGGGCATCTGGCGAGCCTAGCTATTTCTTCTTGCTTTTCACTAAGGAGGATTGCGTGGAACTCAGATCGCATTATCATTTTTTAATGAACGATTCACCATGCGATACTCCAAAAAATTTTATATGCGAATGGGAAGACTAAGACAAAATTTCTTAAGTTGTATTATCTTTTATTGAGATAAATTGAAAAATTGAAAAAATGAATTAAAATTTTAAATTGTTCGACGTATTTTCTAATTCTTGCTAAAATCGGGATTGTTGTTTTTTTAGCCCTTGCTCGGAAATCTATTTACTATGTATTTTGTAATAAAAAAAAGAGAGTTATAAATTTTTTATTGTTCTTGTTATTTTGTATGGCATACATATATAAGTTTATTTATCCAGTCATTATGAAATTTAATTTGTAATTGAGGATACATTTTCAAAATCATGGTCAGAAATTAAAACATAATAATGCTCATCTCGTTTATTATTGTATCTATCCTATTAGAGCTTTATGATATGTAGCCCCCATATGTTAAAACCGCTACAAGTCTTTTCAAAAAGTTCCAGCTTGATAGCTGTTCTCAGTTCTTTACGTAATAATTTACTTATAAAATATGAGTACATATTTTACTTATATTGCTAACTTATTTTACTTACTGCGTAGTAAACGAATTTTACTTACTGCGTAGTAAACGAATTTTACTTTCTGTAGTCCTTTGGTATTTTTAAATAGGTATTATTGCATATTCTGTTAGCTACGATCTTACATCGAGTTTACATGTAAGGCACCCCATGTCAAAAGTATGGATATGCTTCTAGCATTTGCCGTTAGAGGGCGCCCTTATTTTATTTTCTAGAAGCTTACGTTGAGTGGAAATATTTGTTTTAATATCATTGACAAAATCATATAATATCAATGTAAAATATTTAATGTTTTTCGAATACGTTTAGAAACATGATGTCGATGAATCGGCTTTTGTTTCAAATGTGAGGGTATGAAAATTCTGGCATGCCGAGCTTTCTTCATGGAAAATGCCATTATTTTAAAATGAACAATGTTCAGCGAATCGGGCAGCCTTTTCCGAAGCCAATGTCCTGCCTTGATTGACCATTAGGACAATCAATAGATTCTTGAGCCCATTCCCATAAAAATAAAGTGGTCATCTTACGTTGTTAAATTTTATTTTAAATGGTTTTCTCTTTCAATTACAAATGTATTTAATATTATTGTTGTTGCTGCTGCTTTATCGTATATTTTGTTGTTGTTAACGCATTTGATTTTCGACTGGTGTTGCTGTTGTATTTTTTTATGTGTGCATAAAAATCGTTTCACAATCAACAACACTATTTCGTATTTTGTTTTGATTTATGTTTTTAAAATGCATTTTGTTTGTAAATAAAATAATGTCTGCATGAATCTTCTCTAAAGTATTCTCTTGCCAGTTGGCCTGCGTCGCTTTTCACATCATATAAATATGTAGTGTATATATAATTTGCTTTCGGTTTTCGTTATTTTGTTATTAAATTACATTTCACAAAATACAATTCACAACTACACTTGACGTCAAGTTTCTGTTTTCCGTGTAACTTCAACTAATCCATCAATCACCGCCCAGCTTTCAATCTTCTCTATCCTGACCTATCAATCTAAAATCCACTCCGTTATGAAATATTTTCTTTTTAAAATTAAAAAATCGTATACATTCGCGAATTGCAATCAATTTCGGTTCATCAATTTGGTAAATAAATACTCAATCACAAAAAATCAACGAAAAACGCGTCGAGTCGCTTAAACTGAAACACATTTGCTTTAATTATTTTTACATTTTACCATTTCAATTCATTTTGTTTTTCGTTTACGTATATTCGTTACACTCTTTAGCCTTTAATATTTGGTAATTATAGATAAAAGCGTTTGCTATGTACGCCCTGAACTAAAGTTGGAGAAATGCAAAGGTCCTTTCGGCTCCAACTTTCTCTTAGAGAACTAAACTAAACGCTACTAGCTAGCAATATTTCTTTAAGCTTATTAACAACATCGAATAGTACGCGTAAATGGTTGTATTGGATTTGGTTTTCTGTTTGTTGCGTTCAATACGTATAATATATTTATTAAACATTGTACGTCGTGTAGAGAAATTTGCTAATTAATGATTACTCTTTTTGGTTTTGTTTTCTGCTTCTGTTTGCTTAACTTGGAGAGCTTCGTTTTAATGATACGTATAAGTGTTCGAGGGAATCTCTTGTGAATGCTTTAAACCAATAAGAAATCACGAAAGGAACGGAACAAACAAAGAAAAATCAACAGAAATGTACTTACTTGTCATGCATAAGGAAATCATGGGTAAACAATAAGAAAGTAACTCAAAAGTGAAATATTTTGTATATTGTTTTTATTACAGCTTTTGCATGTTTTTTCGTTTTGTGTTTAGAAATAGTTATAGTCGCTAAAACATTACACACATAGTTGTTGCTATATCATATAATTTATAATATAAAGTTCATCCCTTCGTTCTCGTTTTGTTTCGTATGTGAAATGGTTTGAAATGCTAACAGTTAAATTGTTGCTTTTACCATGTAATATAAATATTAAATTTAAATACAATAGTTTTAATGCTTGATAGATATTTCGTTTTGCTTTTGCTTGCCATTTTCTTTTTTTGTTTCTCGTTATTTGTTTACAACTAAGGTTACATTTAATTTAATACTCTTATATGAAAGTTTTAGCTTTATACAATTTTTCTTTTTGCTTCTTTTATAAATGCAAAAAATGCCCTGTGTCGGCTGCAAAAGTTGGCGATTTCCATTTACTCATTTATTTGTATGTTGAAGACAAAAGGGTTTTTTGTTTTGGTAGTATTTTCTTTTTGAGTTTTTGTAAAAATTAAATTCAATTTTTGAGCTTAAATGCAGAGTTGCTTTTGATGCTGAAATGCAAGTTACTATATTTATATTTAGTTATAGGGTATCTCTCATCTTCAGACAAAAAAAGTCGTTTACAAACTAGGCGCGATTTGAAAATATGTACAGAACTTAGTGTTGGATAATGCCTTAGGTTAGGTTAAATAATTTACAAATGGTATCTGGCAACACAGACTGCCTGCTCTTTGATAACGCGACAACCCTAGGTCGCAACAAACGTTCTATGGGCATTCGAAGTTTTTCTTTTTTGTATTTATTTTTTATGCGTTCGTAATGTTTAATGTTTACGTTTAGGTTAAGGTTAATAGTGTATTTAGTTTGATTAAAAGTTAGTTGTAATTTCGAAATATGGCTCGTGGCTCTGACTTGGCAGTGTGGGCAGATTCCGCTCGCTATTCACCCCGAGTACTCTACGTGGCGGCTACTTAATTGGTTTGCGTTTCTCAGTCTATTTCGTTGAGGAAAGTGTTTTTTGGAGGGGGTAACAACAGAAGAAGAGGTGGCATTGTGATTATTCAGATAGGAAAGTAGTTAATGGCAGGTGGAACAAACGCGCTTCAACTGGATTTTATCGTTTTTCTTTTTTTCGCTACGCCGCCCACGCTCATCTGCTTTTGAAGACAAAGGTTTTTTTGGACTAGAATCTTGTATGCAGATTGGTTGTTTACCACATCTCTTAGTGTTATCTTCGACCCTGTTTCGGTTTCTAACTCGTAAACCATTTCAGTTCTAAATATAAACAACTCTTATGAGGCTCAACAGAAAACTGATTTTACTTGACTATTTTGAAAAGCAAAATGTTCTGAGTTACATTTTAAACGTGAAATTAATAGATAGAAATTTCAATAGTTAAATTCTTAATATGAACAAATATGTCAAACTTTTTTATTAAACCTCATTTATTTAAGGAAACTTAAGAAACCTATCAAAAATAGTTCAAAAGTGAAGCAAAAACTTTTCTTTGAAGATGAACTTTTGTGATTTTTGACTCCGTCAAAATGTAAGCAGAGTTAAAAACAGAAACAGGGGCTCCTTTCGCGCTTTCCACTCGATAAACAAACTACGGCTACTCGAATTAATATGGCATGGCTTCAAAACCTTTGCTGGAACGGCGGGAGTGAGCGAGAGGGGGGATGGCGAGATGGGGCAGGGGGGCTGTTGGTGCGAGCGAGAGAGAGCCTATGAGTGCGAGTGAGACAGAGGCCGGGCGTGCGAGTCGACCAGCGTGAGCGGCTACAGCTGGCTGAAGCTGCTGGTCGAGACCCAGTGCGCGGTGTCCGGGCGTACCATTAACTATATGGGACCGTAGTCGCTGAGCGCCTGGCCCGGATGCTGGGCGCCCGGGCCGCCGGGCAGCGTGACCACCACGGACACGGCCCGCGAGTCGATCACGGAACCCGGAGCGGTGTTCTGCCCACCGACGCCGCCGTTCCCGTTGCCATAAACGTTGCCAGGATTGCCAACACCACCGCCAACGCCAACGCCGGAGGATCCGTGCATCAGGGTGCCGGGGAGAGGGCCCATGCCGACCGTGCTGCTGCTCATCGCGGTGCCGTGGCCCAGGGTGCCGCCGCCAATGGTGCTACCGCCACCCCCGCCTCCGCCGCCGCCGCCGCCCATGGTCGATGCTCCCCCGACTCTCCATGTCATACGTGGCTGGCCGCCGGCTGCTTGAGAACGTGGTGGTGCAGGTGGTGGTGGCTGGTGGAGGCCACCGAGGCGCCGCCCGCCTGGGTGTAGGGCGTGGCCAGCAGGGATCCCGCCGCGGATCCCACGGGCATTCCCATTCCGGAGCCGGCGTACGGATGCGGGATGGGTGGCCGCTGCTTGATCAGCGCTTGGTTGGCGCCGGTGCGATCTGGCGCTCCGAAGAGGCGCCTCCAGAAGCGGCGCCAGCTCTCGAGGGTCTTGCCCGACCAGATCCACACACCGGAGGTGATGCCCACGGCCAGGGCCATGAAGTACTTGAGCATGAGCACGGAGTAGAGCGGCTTCTTGCCGGGACCCTTCACCTGGGCACAGGGACAAGCGAGAGCTTTGATCCAATCCTCGAAGTAGGCCGCCTCGTACAGGTAGCACCCGATGACGATGGTCGCCGGAACGGTGTAGAGCACCGAGAAGATCCCGATGCGGATCATGAGCTTCTCCAGCTTGTCCGCCTTCACCCCGGCTCCAACGCCGCCCTGCTGCTTGATCACCGATCGGATGCGGAACAAGGACACAAAGCCGGCCATCAGGAAGGTGGTGCCGATGACGAGGTACACGAACAGCGGGGCCAGCACGAAGGTCTTCAGGTGGTCGGGGTTGAGGTTGCCCACGTAGCAGATGCCCAGGATGGGGTCCCCGTCCACCGCGGAGAGCAGCAGCACGGCCACCGACTGGACGGTGGGGATGAGCCAGGCGGCCAGGTGGAAGTACTGCGAGTGCTTCGTGATCGCCTCGTTGCCCCACTTGAGGCCGGCGGCGAGGAACCAGGTGAAGCTGAGGATCACCCACCAGATGGAGGAGGCCATGCCGAAGAAGTAGGTCAGCAGGAAGACCAGCGTGCAGGAGTGCGGACCCGTCGAGCTCTCGCGGAGCAGCAGGCCGTCGCAGGCGATCTCCTCGTTCTGGAGGAAGTTCCGCGAGAGGTAGCCCACGGCCACCATGAAGTAGCAGGCGGAGAGGAACACAATGGGTCGCTCGGGGTACTTAAACCTTTCGGTGTCGATGATGAACGTGGTTAGGGTCATGAGCGTGCTGCAGAAGCACAGACCCGACCACAGAGCGATCCAGAGGCCGGCGAAGTCCTTTTCGTCGTTGCTGAAGAAGGGGCCCTTGCACGGGATGCCGCAGCTTGGCACGCCGGCGATCCTTTGGACAGTGAGGTTCATGTACCAGTGGTGCGGATGGTGCATCATCGGCATCTGCGCCTGCGCCGCCTGCTGCTGCTGCTGCTGCAGCAGCTGCTCCTTCCCCAGGAAGATGAGCGGCGAGCGGCACGAGCAGCTGCACTCTTTTCCGCTTCCCTTTTCTCCTTGGGGGCTTTGGCAGTTTTTTGAGTTGCGTCCGCGGCACTTGGAGCTTGTGGTGCCCGATCCGCCGGATCCGCTGCTTCCGGATCCGCTGCCTCCCTGCTTCCTCTTGCCCCCCGAACCGGAGCCTCCACTCGATCCTCCCGAGCCTCCCGATCCCGAGGAGCCGCTTCCCGCCTCCGTGTAGGAGGGCTGCTCCATGCAGAGGTTGTCCGGGTCGCCGTGCAGCGGCAGGTGCTCGCAGGCCATCCGCTCCGGCCACTCGAAGCTGTACTGCTGCATGATCGGAGCGCAGCCGGAGCGGGCTCGCTCGCAGACGCTGCGGCAGACGGGGAGCGGCTTGTAGTAGTCGTCCAGGCAGATGGGCGTGTACATGCTGCAGAGGAAGAACTTGAGGTCCGGCGAGCACTTGATCTCCACCAGCGGCCAGAACTGGTGCACCTCCAGCCCGGCCTCGTCCTGCGTCTCGTGGTTCATCTCGTTGGGGAAGGAGGTCATGTTGTAGCCGATCCCTCGGCACATCGGGATGGTGATCTCCTCGCAGCGCATGTTCGGGTCCTTCGGGATGGCAGGCACTCCATAACCAGGAGCGGGACTCGCGTCCAGTCCGTGGCCCATGCCCATGCCCATTCCGTGGTCCGGGATGTGCTGCGGTCCGTCCGCCCGACAGGCGGAGGTCAGGAGGAGCACCAGAAGGACTCCTGGGAGCAGGACCTTCACTCTGTTGTGTCGCATTCTGTGCGTCTTACTTAGCTTCTTCGATTCGGGTGAACTGAGACCCCTTTCGGTGGTCGTTGGGTCTTCGGTGGCTGACCTTCGACCTTCTCTGCGGTCGCGCCTCACTCCGCGTGGAGGCGCCTCGAGAGCCGGAAAAGCGAGTCGCGTTTCCTTCCAGACACAGCTCGGCGTCAAATCGTCAGCGCTCGACAAACGGCGTGGTCTAGCTGAAAGGAAAGAGAATGCTATAATTAGTTTCAGTTTTAATTGATTAAATTAAAAACTTAGAAGCTTATGAGGTAGCTCTAGAATAGGTATTATATTTTCTGATTTATAACATATATTTATAGCTTTCCCTCCTTAAGTGTTCATGCCTATAAACTATTAGTGTGCGTTTGACATCATACCACATAAATTTATGATCATCAAATGTTGTTGGCTTTTACGATAAGGAATCAGATCCTGATAAAGTCTGTCCTTAGCACATGTTGAACCGATAGACGAAGCTATTTCTAGCTTTTAACGAGTCGACTGCCGAAATTCAACTGATTTTCAACACCATATTGTATTTCCCAACAGACGTCACTCGAAGGAAAAGGGGAAAGAGATGGTCAGAGTCGTTATAAATGATCGCTGATGAGGCGGCGACAAGTTGCAACTGCTCTTTCCTGTTTCTGATTCGCTCCCCGGAGAACTTTCGCGCTTCATTTGTTTCAATTGAGAGCGGCGACACTTGGACGACATGTCCATGTCACATGTCAAGCACTCCGGCACTTCCACTTCTACTTCACCCACCCACCAGTGAACCAAACCACCAAACCAACCAACCAACCAACCCACCATCCCGGTTTTCGCATCCACATCCCCAGACGAGTGTCAACCCTTCCGCCAATATTTGCTGACGCTGCTGCCCAGTTGACGATTCTGGTTCTGATTCTAGAGCCGATTCCGATTTTGATTCTGGAACTGCGCTGACCAAGAGGCGCATCAATCAAAATCAGTGAGTTTTATTAAATTTGACGGCGTCTGCTGGCGGCAAACGCACGGCTCCAGTGCACATAGAAAAAACTATTTAGTTGAGATAGGATTTGGTATTTGATATTTCACAAAACAGCATTACATTTTATGAAATTATAGGTATAAGAGAGTACATTTATATAAAGCAACCAATATCAGCTTTTCCTGTTTGAAATCTTTTCGAGATATATTTGGTATACAGCAGTATAGCAATATTGAATAGAAAAGTTCCATGATTAAATGACATCTGCTTTTCCTTCAGTGTGTGCTCAATGAAAGTGTTTGCGCAGAAGGGTGTGAAACGCTGATGGATTGGATGTGATGATGATGGTGATGGGGCAGAAATTAATTCAAGACAATTGCTCACTTGAGGCGCAGTCAAAATGGAGGCTGAGAAGCCACCCATCAAGTCGAGCGTCCACTGGATAATAAATATCATATGGTGACACCTTTTCGGGAGGGATAACTACTGCAGAATGGCAGCTGGCGGTATCGATGCCAGCGGTTTGTGGTCAAGTCGACGGGCAGCTGCTCCACAACCGATACTCGGATACTCGGATACTCCGATACTCAGTTACTCGAATACTCAGATACTCGAATACTCGGAGACACCGAAAATTGACAGCTGGACGGACGAGCGAAGTGAAGGGCAATTTACTCGCCAGCAGCTTCTGTGCGCTGCAGTCACGAAATTTATCTACAAGATACAAGATACAAGATACAGTTTTAGCAAGTGTCAAGTGACACACATATTTGCGGCTTTTGCGGCAGCTTCAGTTTCTGCTCGGGAACCCAGCTGCGTGTGGTCCAGAGGAAAGCAGCAGCAGCGGCTTTAAAGCCTGCCAGTTGGACTTGGCTCTTTGCTCTTGGCTCTTGGAAAAGCTGTCAGCAGCAGCTGCAAATAAAACATGGTCGAGCTCCCCACTTTACACTTTACACGCCCCAACTTCTTTGTTTCGCGCTGAAAGTCCTTCCATTGTTTTTCCGAATGAATGACATTTTAATTAATAACATTTGTGTGCGTTAGTCGCCGTCCATCACAATTTTACCCCCCGAAATCCCCGACCGATACAACCCCGAAAATAAGTTGCAGAGTGCGGCTCTCAGTGAAACATTTTTCGTGTTAAAATGTTTGCCGAGCACTTCAAAATAATTAAGTAAATACGCCTCGGAAAATGTTTCTAGGACACCGTGGGCGGGGCCGTCGAAAGCCCAAGTGTTGTGATTACAACTCGAGGGTAGCGCCAAAAATAAATGCTGAAACCCAATATCGAAATGTGGGCAGCAGGCAATCGGATCGTGAGAAACAATGCCAGGCGTGAGTCTCCTATCGATTACAGCGAATCGAGTCTATAATATAGCCTCCACTATACAAGTTTGTTCTGCGAACAGAACAGAACAGAATAGATGGAGGCGTCTATCGGCTGCGGTGACGCTTACGCAATGTTCTCCTACTCGAATGACAAATTCAGTGGATGGAAGTCGAAGTGAACCTAGGAGCTGTCATGAGTCAAGGTTAAAGAGTGGTTTGAACGTAGTAAATATGTTTAAAACATATTTATGATACTTTATACGTATTCAAACTATTTCAAAATATTTAGATAACTTAGTAGCAATGGTTACAAAGTAAATGCTAAATAATGTAGAACAAGAGTTTATTGAATTCAAGATTAGGAAAAGATAAAGAACTTCTTTCAGCTTTGCAATCATTTTCCTAGGCAACTCACTGAAATCCAATAAAATTGCATAAGCAATAACATTTTCAAAAAGTATACAAGAGGTGTCCAAGCCTCTTCTTTATGGAAACTCAAACCTCAGAACCCATTTAAGCATTTAGCGACACCTCCTTAAAATTAATTTGTACGCGGAATTAAAGTTCCCCTGAAAGTTTCTTAGTTTCAAAACCACACACATTGAATTAACATTTTTTCCTCGCATTGACACTTGTGAAGCATTTTCGTAACCGGGAGTGAAAATTAGCCGTAAGCCAAAACAATGCGACAATCACCGAACGGAAAGAGGGAAAAGTCTAATTGGTTTGTCCGAGGCAGGGAAATCATATTGAAATGCAGCGAACGTGACTAAAATGGCAGACTCGACTCGACTCGACTCGACGGGTTGTTCCATTACAACAAGAGGGGCAACCAGGGGGAAATACCATAGAGAAAAGAAAATGCGTATAGTAGATGTGCTGCTGGCTGACTGGCTGGTTGGGTTATGGAAAAGCCACGTTCACAACGACGACTTCCACGTTTGGCGGTGTGGCAGCAGTGAGTGTTGTGGCCCAAAACCAACACAACTTGCTCCGGTTATTAAAGCCTCAAGTGGCCGGCAGGGTAGGCAGGGCAGGCAGAAGGGATGTGGGCTCCTTTTAGGGCCGGCCCTGTTCTGTGTTCTGATTGCCGGCCAACAACTAGCACTAATAGGTGGATGTGTTCATGGGAAATGGCCTGGAAATAATAGCAAACGTGCTTCTCTCGAGTGGAGCGAGGGAAAAGCAGTAAGCAGAATGCATAAATATTGTTTTTAATAGAGAAAAATGTCTCGAGTGGCGGTGACGAATGGATGGATCGGATCGGATCGTCTCTCTTCTCAAGTTTTCGAGTTCTCGAAGTGGTAGCCAAATGTTTGTATTTGGCCGATCGACCGGGCCGTGTTTGCTTAATGATTCGATGTTTTTAGTGCAGACTCATATTGTTTATTTAATTGTTAACAAGCGTGCGGCTCAGACGCTACAAGCTCGTTACGAGTAACAAATTATTACTCGCCCCGAATGCACGGCTTTTTGCCAATCATTCCGCTGGAAGAATTTATACGAAATCACGCTGCCAGCCAGTCTCAATGATGTTTGTCCAAGCTCTCCAGCTCTCCAGCTATCCAGCTCTCGACTGGCTCGAAGATCTGGCTCTGGCTTTCCTGGCCATGTTTGCCAAAGACTTGAGAATGCTGCGATCGGGGAAATCAGGGAGAGGGAGAAAGAGATCCCCGATCGGTGAATGGCTGCGCTTCAATGCGCTAAAGAGGTCGTCGGGCGGAAGCTGTTACCAAAGTTGGTAGCTTGCCAGCAACAGCAGCAGCTAAAGAAAAATCAACGACTACGACAACCTGACTGTTTTAATTAAACAAACAAGACAGAAACTCAGAGGGAAGACGACACCAGCGAGCAAATAAGTAGCAAGTGTTGCTGAGGAGCAGAGTACAGTCGACACCCATGGCAAACAAACCGCAGCACAAGGTGTGGGATTCCGAGAAGGTGGGAACCTCAAGTCGATTCGAGTCGAGGCGAGTCTTGGTGGAATGATCTCATTTGCAGTATTCCAAGAATCTAAGAATCTCATTTCATGGCTGATTGAGGATGCTTATTAAGCGTTAGTATGTTGTTACATTAACTTTAGCCATTTTATGGAAATCATGCACACTCAGAGCAGAGCCATCAAAAAGTCTTGCAATAATTCAAGCAGCTAAAGTGTCGGCAAAAGAATCACGAACACAATACGCAAAGTTATAAACTCTTAACTGGCAATATCGCTTGCGAGTACAGTTTACACAAAAGCAGAGGAAGTAAGTCCGGCACTCAACTGGAGATAATGATGATGAGCAATTAACCAAACAATGACCGAAACCAGCATCGTTGCGAGCCGAAAAGAGAATGCTAATCGATAACTTATCGCCTCGATGGAGGCCAATCAATCAATCAAAGGCAACGAACAGAAGAGGTCTTCATACAAAACGGCTCCAAATCGTTCGCGGAGCCACGAAAAATGCGGCAAAAAAAACGAGGGGGAAAAGCCAAAGAGGAAAAACTTGGCAACCACAAAGCACTTAAACTTTCCACGGGGGGCATTTCCTCGTTTTCGGCAAATCGCGGAGGAGGGGAGGGGAGGGGAGGGGAGTCCTCCGCCCTTCGCAGGTGCAGTGCACAAAGAAGCGTTGAAGCAGCAGCAACAAACTCCAAGGGCTCGCAGGTGCAACAGTCAAACAGAAAACCACCCACCCACCAATCCACCAATCCACCCACTGCACCACCTCCCGTGCTGTGGCCTTGGCCAAAGCAAACCGCGAAAATCAATTGAAAAACTGGGCGGGACAAGCGGGGAGGGAAAACAGAAAACAGAACGAGGAGCAGGAGCTGGAGCAGGAGCAACTGTTTGCCTTGTTGGCGGCGGCATCAAAAAGCGCGTAGCGGCGCAAAATGAAAACAGTTTGTCGA